TATTTGCCACTCTGTGCATTTCTTACTACTTACATTGGTTCTGGTCTTAGGTCTGTCCTGCATTGGTTCTGGTCTGAGGTTTGCAGTGCATTGGTTCTGGTTTGAGGTCTTCTGTGCATTGGTTCTGGTCTGATGGTTCTGGTCTGATGGTTCTGGTCTGCAGTTTGCAGTGCATTGGTTCTGGTCTGATGTCTGTCCTGCATTGGTTCTGGTCTGAGGTTTGCAGTGCATTGGTTCTGGTTTGAGGTCTTCTGTGCATTGGTTCCGGTCTGATGTCTGTCCTGCATCAGCTCTGGTCTGATTTCTGTCCGGCATTGGTTCTGGTCTGATTTCTATCCGGCATTGGTTCTGGTCTGATGTCTGTCCTATATTGGATCTAGTCTGAGATCTGCCATGCATTGGTGCTGGCCCTGGTTTGCATGCAGTGGTTCTGGTCTGTGCGCTACAACCTTCTGTCCTCTGCGTTCTGTGTGTTACTACCTTCTGACCTCTGTGTGTTACTACCTTCTGACTCACCTAGAACAAGCGTGAAGCCAGCTTAAGTCAACTCCCAACCTGCACGTTTGCTCCAGGTCAGTGACTTACATTGCAGAAAAGACAGCTTTTCAATGTGAAAGAAAGGGTTTTCAAAATGGTTTCAAAGTGGGAGTATACCTTTTATGACAGGTTCCCTTTAAATCTCCTTAATGGAAAACAGTCATATTCTGTCACCTACAGTAGGGCTGGTGTATATCCCTGCATTTAAAACGCACATCAAATGCAGGTCAACAGATTCCCATTTATTTAGATAGAGTAGTGTAGATGGCAATTCAGAGGCTGCATTGTGTTTTTTTTAGTCCAGCGTGTTCTATTGAGGTGCAACAGAATGGTAATGTGGCACTCACCAATGTAACTTTGGAGGAAGACTGAGACTAGTGCTAAGAGAGGAGATCATAGAGTGTTGTCACTACAGAATGCAGTGTGGGTCTCAGTGCTCACTTGTTTCAAACCTTCAATTCTTCAATGTACTCCAAAAGAAGATACTTGACTGGCCTTTGAGAAAGCATGTATATTACACATGAAACAGTCATAAGGTGGCATTTCACATGAATGCCTGTCTACATGAGCCCATACTGCAAAATATCTATTTGCACTCTGTAGATGTTCAGAAAAAGTGAGCAGCAAAGAAAAAAAAAGAATGAGTTCTCTAAGCTCTCATCAACTGGCAACATCAATCACAAAACTGTTAAACATAAAGTGCATTGTCCACCTTATTTAAATCATTTACTTTGAGCTAATTTAGTAAAATCTGAAACTGTGAATGGTAAAATACTGGGGGAAAATAGATACTTATTTGTTTTTATTTTCCTTTTTTTTTCAGCAAGGACCTTATTTATTCTTCAGAGTATTGACTTCACATTGTACAAAATAAAATACCTGAACAATATTAATGTATTCATGTAACAGTGGTCTGTTAAACAAGTAAAGTCGCTGTGCTTATATGGAGAGTGTTCTATGATAGAAACCCAAGTTAGTGATGAAGATGATTTAGATGAAAATCTGGCCATACAAGAGTAGATAAGGCCACCTAACACAGATCTTCTTGGGTGCAGAGGCTAAGCAGTACTGTGTCAGGCGTGTGTTTAAGTAGAGGGCTGTGTAGCTAAGTGGCAGCTGCATGCATGGCATCACAAAAAAACAGTCAACACTATCAGGGTTATTCACAAAAGGGTGAAGAGTTTGGAGAAGGCAGGAAAAGTGAACAATATAGGCCAACATAGCTGAACCGGAAAGTGAGCTGAATTGGAGAATTTTTCCAAAACAACTATTTCGGCCTGGATTGTTCACTTCTCCCGTCTTCTCCAAACTCTTCACCCTTTTGTGAATAACCCTGTAAATGGTTTTTTTTTCTTGTTTGATGCCAATAGGCAGCTGTTCCTTATCAAGTTCTATACAGGCAACCTATGGTTATTTTTATTTTTTTGTAGATGGCCAATGAATTTGTACATCTGAAAGGCATATGAAAGCAAGGTCTTTTATAAATGTGTGAGGATACAGAGTTAGTTATGCCGCAGAGGTATGGAACAATGTGTTTAATAGACAGATATAATTGCATGTAAAAGTGATATGATGCACGCCATGATTAATACAGGTATCGGGTACTTCATGTAACAAAGAGATGAAATAGAAAAATATGAAGCACTGCATTTAGTAGAAGCATGAAGCACTGCAAGTATTAGAGAGGCATGTGACGCTGCATGTTTTAGAGAGACATGAGGCACTGTATAGATTACATGAGGCACTCGGTGTAACAGAGTTTCTGATCTAAGAAGAAAATAGATTAGGGTTGTTTTTTTTAAAATCTGCCTTATTGGTGATCTTGCCAAAAGCAGTCAGCTAGAAGATGTCTGTCACCAAAGAAATACTGTAAGATTATGGCTCCCTGAAAATGAAATGACGGTATAATTTATATCATATATGGGGTGCTTTACAATGAATTTCATTAATTTTTCCAAAATGCACAGACTACCTTTATACTGTATATGCCACATCCATCAGTAAACAGTCTTGGTGGAAACAATGGGGATCAGGCAAGGTTTTCCAACCTATCCTATCACTTTTGTCCTTTAACCACTTCAAGACCAGGTGTTTAGACCCCCTTCCTGGCCTGGCCATTTTTCAGTATTCAGCGCTGCGATACTTTGACTGACGTTTATGCCGTCATGCAACGCTGTACTGAAATGAATTTTATACCATTTTTTGGGGACAGATAGAGCTTTATTTTGGTGGTATTTAATCACCACTACGGGTTTTATTTTTTACTATAATTAGGAAAAATTACTGAAAATTTTGAAAAAAAAAAGTTATTTTTTTACATTATGTTAGGAAACACCTATTATTACCCAGTTTTTTGGTAAAATATAAAAGTCGGGGTCACGTCGGTTAAATAGACACCAAACATGTCAAGCTTTAAAATTGCGCGCACCTGCGACATCGCAGAAAACTACCATACCCAAAATTGGCCATAGGGGACGCTTTAAAAGCTTTTACCACTCATCAGTTTAGTGTTATCAGTGATTGATGGCCCTAGACTTATTGCTCTCACTCCGACGTTCGCGGCGATATGTAACATGTGCTGCGTAATGGGCGCAATCGTCTTTTTTGCACGTATGCGCCCCCGACGCATGTTTGCATGCGTGTATGTATGGGTGGGGACTTTTAAATTTTTTGAATTTTTTTTTAAATTCTTTTTTATGTGTAACTTAAAAAATTTTTGGGGGGGACTTTAATTTTTTTTCCACTAAACTTTATTGCTATCACATAGGGGGGCTAATAAAACCACCCTATGTGATAGCAAAATATGTGACAGGTCCTCTTTATGGAGACATCAGGGGTCTCCAAGACCCCTAATGTCACCTAGGACCCCCCAAAAGAAGCTGATGAAGCACAGATCTGCTCCATCAGCTTCTTTGCAGCTTCTGAAGCAGGAGAGTGACACAAGAATGCGGAAGTGATGTATTATACAACACTTCTGCATTCTTTCAGAGGAGAGGGGACCGGAGGGAGCTCGTGTAACGATCTCCCTCTGATCCCTCTGATCCCCTGTGACACAGGCACCATGCTGATCCCGGGCTCGCACCGGGCACAGCGGAGCCCGGGATCAGCGGGACAATGTCGGGGGGATCGCTTGTATGTTAACAGGCACCGCTGTCTGTTTTTAAATTGCGGCCATTTCCGCGGTCATTTCCACGTGTCTGAGCGGACGTCTAAAGACGCCCGCTCAGATCTAGAGAGCTCCGGCCGGCCGTTTTTTTACTACGGCTGGCCCGGAGCTGGTTAAGAACAGCTGCTTGTAACTACCAAGAACTGTTGTATAAATATTAGACTGTGACTCAATACAGCTAAAAATGGTCAAGTTGTGATGGTGATGTATAATTAGAGCTGCAGCTAACGATTATTTTCATAATCGATTAGTTAGCCGATTATTAAGTTCGATTAATCGGATTTTTAAAAAAAAGTCTCCAGTGATGGACTACTAGTTTGTATTGAGATTGTAGTCCATCTGGAGCAGCGTGCGGTGGGAGGTGTCCTGTGAGCACGGCGGGCGCAGCGGTACGTGAGCAGCGTGTGACGTGTGCTTCAGGCCGCGTGTAGAGCCCCGAACAGGGAAATCAATTGATAGCCGACGAATCGACGATCGAAAACGTTGGTAACGTTTCCAATCGTCGATTTTAATCGACTAAATCGATTAACTGTTGCAGCTCTATGTATAATGTTCATGGGCACCTTAAGATATGGAAAAAAAAGCCCCAGGGACACTGAATGACATTATGGGAGAATGGCTGTGTACATCAAAGTATATAATATCTGCTGCATTATTGATAGATTACTACTGTCTGAAAAACACAACCTAAAACAGTGATTTTGTGATTCTGTTCTAAGGTAGGACCATTTACATTTGTCCTCATAGCAGAGCAGATGACAGAAACATGGATAGAAATATAAGAAAGACAAAAGAGATCCATCAGCCATTTCTCACCCTGACCCCAGAAGAGCATGAATAACTGAACACTACCAATTTGTTTCTGCTATATAAATTTCATGCCCACAGCAAGACTCTATTCAACCTATCATTATGTCATAAATCATTGTATTGGTGAGCAATTGTCTGGGAGGATCAACAAGAGTGTTTGATCTTCCTCTTTTGCTGAGAATAGTTCACAAGAGGTTAAACATAATTTAAAAATTACAGCACTAGACAAGTGTCAGTGCCCCTTTCTGCTATTACTTAACAGCCTGATTTTTGAGTACATTGCAAAATATATTTCCAAAATCATACCCGCAGGTGCAGAGTTATGACAGTGTCAGACACAGGTATAAGCAGACGGCAGTACTGTCTGTCATTGTCTTGTTACTGTCTATGAATCTTGAATATGGTTACACTATAAATAAACTTAAAAGGATATTTCATCTTGGGAACACAAACATACTAATTTTATAGGAGAATATTTCTGATTTACCTGCTTTGGCAGCCGGAAAAGGGAATTTTTGTAGAATATATCTTTGGCCTGACTCCATGTGCCATCTATTATGATGAGCGAGTGTGGCTGTTGATCTGCTGCTAGGGACAGCTCTTCCAAATTAGCTGCTTCAGCTCCAGGATACAGGATAAAAGTACTGGGATTCCTGCAGACAGCTGCAAGCTCTGGGTATCTAAACACAAAAGTAAAAAGAAAAAAAGAATACGGAAATGCTTCATAATAAATTTCAATGAAAAAAACAGGAACTTTGAACTATAGATGATTAAAGGAGAATTCCAGCTTTGCAGTCTGTAAAGGATGCAAAAGTAGTAAAGAAGAACTCTGGGGGAAAATTGTATTATCCCTTGCAAAGAGGATACACCTGCACTGCAAGGGTTAACTGCTCGTTTGTGTCTAGGTGCTAAAAAAATAAAAAAGTTATACTAACCCGATCATTCGAGCCGGCTTCTGCTTAGACCAGTCCCTAACGCCTCTATCTCCCTCCTCTGCAGAGGTCTAAAAATCCTTGTGTCATCATGTTCTATACATGTATATAGACATGAGAACATCAAGGAACATTCCTTCTGTGCAGTGGAGGAGGAGACAGGCTTCAGTGACCAGAGAAGCAGGGAGTCGGCTTGGCAGTTTCAGCAAGTATAACTTTTCTTTAGCACCTAGACAAAAACAAGCAGTGCAGGGGTTGCTTCACTACAAGGGTTAATACAAATTTGTCATGGAGTTCTTTAATTAAAGCAATAAAACATATATCATGCATTAAACACTGTAAACACATGATTTATACTGATAGCTGTATCCTTAGAACCATCTGCTTATGGCTGCATAGGATAATCTACAACTATTGAAGTCAACTCAAGGCTTTAAAGTCTATCGAAACCAACCTATTTAACCTTCTTCCCCTCTGCTGTCCTACACCTAACTTGATAAGGAACATTTTCTAATAAAAATCTATCAGAAGCTCCAGGTCCCTCCATCTGCGGCCACTTAAGCATATCCACAGCAGCAGGACATGTTGTCTCTATCAAAGGGAAATATCTTTGTTTAGGCCAAGACTCTGATTGGCTGTCGCTGCCTGAAATTCACCCAATAACAGAGAGCTCATAATACCATTTAAATTTTAAAAAATTAAAAAAATTAAAAATTGTCACAAAACAAATGAATGGCTCTTTTTGAAATCATATTTTTACCAAGCTCCAAACGCCATGTGTCATTTAAGCTACTGTAAGTAAACCTCACAATATGTGCAGTATACAGTCCAAATAATCCTAATAGCTGCTCACTGTAGTAAAGTTGAACTTCTTTAGGATTTGAATATGTGTAGATACAGTATATTATTAGCACTTTACCTCTGCAGTATAGCATTTTTTGTTTATCTTTATCGCCATCAGAAAAAAAAAAATATTTTAGTTATATGCAAGAGTATCTGCTTTCCCTCATCCCCACCAGCATCACAAGCTTTGTAGCTATGATTGACACCAGCAACAGTGTATGGTTTTTCTCATTCACAGCACACAGCCGGTAATAATTCGAGTGGGTGTAATTTTTACTCTACTTATTAAATTGAGTGCAGACATACACCGGAGGTCTTCAGCTGCCACTGTGGGAATCCGGGCTTCTGGTGTGTCCCTGCATCTTTTAGAAGGAAGGGGCTCTTTCCCAGCCATGCCTGCTCTACAATTAAGTATTGCTAGTCCCACGTCAGGAGCTCTGTTAAAAAAAAGTTTGGGAGCAAACTTTTGAAGTTGGCCCTTGCCCCAAACCAGCCCATGCTGATGTGTGGCTTCCAAATATATGCAAATGTAAGCAACAAGAACACCTTCTTTAAGTTAAATTGTTGATACAGTGTAGATTAGCTGCTAAGTGTGCTATCGACTTATTTTGCTTTTTTTTGGATGTAGTGTTCTATGCCTACCAGGAATACACACACAAATTGCATTTTTAAATGCTGAAGCCACTGTACTGCTTGCGGCTTAGATATTGAAAAGGCAATTAAGTCACAAAACTGCACTTTAAATGATTTATTTCAGCCATTACACATTTTCTGGTACTGTCTAGTGCCTATACGCTTTGCTTTTTTTAAGAGAGCCTGAGGCTCATTTTTCTGATGTTATTCTGTGGCTACTTCAAACATTTCAAAAGTGCCTATGTGGGGTAGCTACAAAACAAGTTATAAAATGACTTACAAGTTTAGACCATATAGCATTGTGTACAGAAATCCCAAACACCAGATATATAACTGTATTGCCATCATACACAAGCTGGTCTCCATCCTAGTTCCCAAAAACACCAATTGGGAAATAATCCCTGCCGTTTAACATTTTCTGTTTTCTCACAGCCCAGCGTTTTACAACACTAAACTTATTCCCTTGATAAATGGCCTTTTATCTGTTCTTCAAGTACAATATAGTACAAACACAGTCATGCCATATAAATCTCAGTCTGGAATAGAGGAATATTAGAGTATTAAACAGACAACTATTGCTGTTTTACTACTGTGTAGAATCTGAAACTTTTATGGCTTTGTAATATATAACAGGGCTGAAGGAAACATGAATTAACCAGCATGAGTAAGGAAAGTATGGTGTCTCAGCAGCATTCACCTTGTAATGCCTTATTAAGACACAAACAAAATGACATTTTCAGTGGTACACTATTAAACCTGGCAAAGTCTGCCTGAGGAATGGCATACATATGTTGTTCCATAATGCCGCCTGTACTTTCACAGTTTAGCGTCTGCCTGCAATCATTTTTAAAAAAAATACAGTGAAATGTTCACACATTAGCTGCAAAATTATTCTGCTTCTTACACAGTATAGAAAATAATGCTCAGCCTTAGCAGAAAAAGAACCAAGGGCATGGTACTTGGCAGACTGGAAACAAATCAAACAGAAAGTTTCAAGGCAACGATGTTTAAGAAGTGGATGGTGCTGAAACACTGCTATTAATTCAAGATACTAGAACACTGTTTGGGACTCCAATTGGGAGACTTTCTTGTGGCAGCCTTGGCTATTACTTTCATGCTCAAGCTGAGTCAAGTAGCCAGGACAAGTAATCTGTTTGGATGTTCTTGCCTTGAAAAAAGCCTGGTATTGAAAAATTGTAAAAAGCTGGCTGCTAAATTGGTCAAGGTGTGTTTATTGGTCCATTGTGGTGCCTTGGCATCCCACTGAAAACAATGACCTGCTTTAATGCAATCAACATTGTTGCACGGTAGTGTGTAGAGTTGTATCTGAGGTATGGATTAGTGTGTTTGGGGTGCCAAACTAAAAAGGCCCCATAACGCAAAGTGTTCATGGTGTGTAATTGTGCATTGTGGTAATGTGTATGTCACTGCAACACAAAAGGCGTGAACCCAGACTGATTGGGATTCACCAATTTGCATTCATAATTGCAAACAGGAAAAACTGGAAGGTTACATTACTGCATTAGGTAAAGATGGTAATCCACATCAACTTTTGTGCTGCCCTTCCCATGGTGGGACATTATGTGGAAAAAAAAAAAAGGTGTGTGTGTGCGCTACATGGTTATTGTCGCATTAAAATAAGAATGACCACTAAACATGCAACACTGCCATTGTGCTGTCCAACTTTCAAGAGACCACAGAGAAAGGAGATGGCGGCTTTTTGTTGGTTCCTCTCCATCTTCTGCTGTAGGATTTAGCCACTCGTGTCAAGAAAAGATGATTGTTAAAAAAATATTAAGAGAAATGTAAACTATAACGGTTGTACTTTGCTGCTGTCTATATATTGGCATATTGTTAATATGGTCCTGACTGTAACCCATGACAATTAATTTTAGCAATTTAGAATGGGCTACATGATTTTATTACATTAATTAAAATGTAAAAAACTAAAGAAAAAAAAAGAGCCTGGTTTGGTGAGTAAGAACAAAAAAAAGTAGAAGTAGAAACAAAAAAGGGTTGTTTTTAACGTTGCATTTTATTTATGGTACACACCATTACTAACCAAATATACAAAGTTAATGGGTTAATGGCATACTCCAGTGTTCCTTGAATAAAAAAACTAGACCACAAGCTTGACCAAGAGATTTTAGCAATGTGTTTTGCATACTGCTGGCTGTAAGTCAATGCCACTCACATATAGGCCTTTTTACACATGAAAAGCAATGCATTTCTATGGAGCTCATTCACACCTGTGCGTTTGTACACACACACAAAAACACGCAACGCATGAAAAAGTACATGCGCAATCTTTTGGCAGATTTCACAGCTTTCTGTCAGCAACGCACTGTAGTATAGCTGCAGAAAACCGTGCGTCTACTAAAAATTCCACATTTAAACGTGCGCATAAAATGCGCGGAAATTCCAAACGCCTTGGTGTGAATAGCGACTATGCATTGTACAATTGTCACTATAAAGATCCTTCTCTTTGCCAGATGCAGATGATCACATTAACTGAAATTTTGCTAAACGTATCTAAAATAATAGTATTTTGAACAAAAATATAATTCATGTGGGATCAAGTTTCTTACAAGCTTATGCTCCGTACCTGCATCCCTGCACTTGGCTACATATATAATCAAGAAATATTTTTTTAAAAGTTTTTAGCAGAGCAAAATATACAATACAAATAGGCTAAAATAATCAAATCACCCTCCTAGCCTCCACCCATTGTACTCCACCTACTTCACCCAGATTATTGTTATTAATTAGGTACAATTATACTAATGCATATGCAGCATGGTGTACCCATATAACAGAGAAGATGGGGAAGGTTTTGTTATTGACTACACATTTCTTGGATCAATGTACACTTTCTCAGGAGATAAAATATTGATCTAAAATGACACAATATCCATTACCATGGTACATTATTAAAGAGTTATTTCACTTAACATGTATGTATACATACATATTAATAATACAATTTAAATTTACACAATCTTCAAATAAAAACCACATATGCAAAGCAACTGAGAATCCACCAAAGCCATGCCCATCTCCTTGTTTGTACAACCCCAATTCCAAAAAGCTGCTGTATACAATCTACATGAAAACAGAATGCAATGATTTACAAATCTCATAAACCCATATTTTATTCATAATAGATAAAAGAAAACATATCAAACGTTTAAACTGAATAAATGTACAATTTTAAGAAAAAAAATAAAGTAATTTTGAAATTGATGGCAGCAACACATCTCTAAAAAGTTGGG